AGTCTTGATCAATGGTTACAACAACTACATGAGTCTTGATCAATGGTTACAACAACTACATAAGCCTTGATCAATGGTTACAACAACTACATGAGTCTAGATCAATGGTTACAACAACTACATGAGTCTTGATCAATGGTTACAACAACTGCATGAGTCTAGATCAATGGTTACAACAACTACATGAGTCTTGATCAATGGTTACCCAAAAACTGCATGAGTCTAGATCAATGGTTACAACAACTGCATAAGTCTTGATCAATGGTTACAACAACTGCATGAGTCTTGATCAATGGTTACAACAACTGCATGAGTCTAGATCAATGGTTACAACAACTACATGAGGCTTGATCAATGGTTACAACAACTACATAAGTCTTGATCAATGGTTACAACAACTGCATGAGTCTTGATCAATGGTTACAACAACTGCATAAGTCTTGATCAATGGTTACAACAACTACATGAGTCTTGATCAATGGTTACAACAACTACATGAGTCTTGATCAATGGTTACAACAACTGCATGAGTCTTGATCAATGGTTACAACAACTGCATAAGTCTTGATCAATGGTTACAACAACTGCATAAGTCTTGATCAATGGTTACAACAACTACATGAGTCTTGATCAATGGTTACAACAACTGCATAAGTCTTGATCAATGGTTACAACAACTGCATGAGTCTTGATCAATGGTTACAACAACTGCATGAGTCTAGATCAATGGTTACAACAACTACATGAGGCTTGATCAATGGTTACAACAACTACATAAGTCTTGATCAATGGTTACAACAACTACATGAGTCTTGATCAATGGTTACAACAACTGCATAAGTCTTGATCAATGGTTACAACAACTACATGAGTCTTGATCAATGCTTACAACAACTGCATAAGTCTTGATCAATGGTTACAACAACTACATGAGTCTTGATCAATGGTTACAACAACTGCATGAGTCTTGATCAATGGTTACAACTACATAAGTCTTGACCAATGGTTACTATAACTCCTTCAATTCTTCTCAATCGCTACTTAAAAAAAGAGCTAAATCTGGACTACAAAAAACAAGAAGCTAACATAAAAAAAATGAAATATATATAGTTGTACCTTAAACGATGCATTGAATTACGTGTAACCTGAGACATTGTGAGACTGGTTCTTCACATAGATACAGCCATATATCAAAGCTCGTAGCTTAGTTGTAGTGTTCAACTGAGTCTAAAGACCCGGGTTCGAATCCTGAATGAGCCGAGATATGTGGATAGGTCTTCTTACACCTGCTGTCCCTGCTCACCTAGTATTAATGAATACTAGGAGTTTGTCTCCTGCTGTGGACCTCATCCTAGGGAGCAGCACCTAGGGATCTAAAAGAAATAAGCTGTTGAGTTACTCCTGGTCAACAACCTAAGATAAACTCTTACAAAGAGTATGATGTATGTTATATCCAAAGAGTAGAGCGCACGTCATACACACGTGTCAAAAATTCCTCAAATATGAAGCATACATGACACACGCAGGCAAGCTGCAGCAGCAGCAGCAGCAGCAGCAGCAGCAGCAGCAGCAGCAGCAGCAGCACAGCAGCAGCAGCAGCAGCAGCAGCAACAACAGCACAGCAGCAGCAGCAGCAGCAGCAGCAGCAGCAACAGCAGCAGCAAGCAGCAGCAGCAGCAGCAGCAGCAGCAGCAGCAGCAGCAGCAACAGCTGCAGCAGCAGCACAGCAGCAGCAGCAGCAGCAGCAGCAGCAACAGCAGACAGCAGCAGCAGCAGCAGCAGCAACAACAACAGCCAGCAGCAGAAGCAGCAGCAGCAGCAGCAGCAGCAGCAGCGCGCATGCAGCAGCAACAGCAGCAGCAGCAGCAGCAGCAGCAGCAGCAGCAGCAGCAGCAGCAGCAGCAGCAGCAGCAGCACAGCAGCAGCAGCAGCAGCAGCAGCAGCAGCAGCAGCAGCAGAGCAGCAGCAGCAGCAGCAGCAGCAGCAGCAGCAGCAGCAGCAGCAGCAGCAAGACACCGCTAACATGCCCACGCTACAAACAGGTTAGAGAGCAGCGACACACGTGTGTTCACGCCCCGTTCACCATGGGAAGTGCAGCTCTCCCAGCTGGTCTGCTGGGGAATGGCGGGGCTCACAGCTGGTCCGTTGAGGGAATGGTGGGGCTCTTCCAGCCGGTCTGCTGGGGAAAGGGGGCTCTTTCAGATGGTCTGTTAGGGATGGAGGGAGGCCTTTCAACTACTAATCTAGGTTATATTTGGTTACCTTTTTTTGTTTGGTTATTAATGTAGAACTTTTTTCTCAAAGACTCAAAATTTAACTGTATTCATTACATAAATCACTTAATATTGGAGAGTCGACATAATAACATGTCGGAAAGAGCAAAACACAAGGCGCTCACCTCAATATTAGCAATAAAAACATTTAACATGTCATTTGTATTTAACAAATATCATCATATACTTATATATATATATATATTAATATATATATAATTATATAATATATTAATATATATATATATATAAATATATAGTATATATATATATATTATATATATAAATCAATACACTCCACAATAGGCAAGCCGGCAGACAGTACAAAATACCAGGGGTCTGTAGGGATTACCAACTAGATATCTACATGAAGGAACATATACATTCTTTAAGTCAGTTCCTGACCAGCTGGAATGTGGTCCGTATGTAAGACTTCGTGCAGCCAGCAGTAACAGCCTGGCTGATCGGCCCCAACACACCACCAATGCTCCAAACCATTCAATACACTCATCCCATGAAAAAAAAAACCCCGTCGAGGATTCTGGTGTTGGAATATTGTTTCCAGGATCTTGACCCAAGACTGACGAGATGAACAAAGCTGAAGAGAATATTAATAGCAGCATCAACACCTGATCATTATTATTATTATTATTAATTATTATAAAGAGTGAAGACGTAAGGTTCAAACATGGCTCTGGGGATGTTAGGAGTGTCAGGTAACACTGGTCAACAATTTTTGAAAAGTTGTACGTTTCTTAAATGAGATTAGTTAATTCTTATGTATTTTCATGTCCTATCAAAACCTGGAGAAATACCGGAGAGGGTTTTTGGGGTCAACGCCCCCGCGGCCCGGTCTGTAACCAGGTTTATGGTGGATCAGCGCCTGATCAACCAGGCTGTTACTGTTGGCTGCACGCAACCCGACGTACGAACCACAGCCCGGCTGGTCAGGTACTGACTTTAGGTGCTTGTCTAGTACCTGCTTGAAGACATCCAGGGGTCTATTGGTAATCCCCCTTATGTATGCTGGGAGGCAGTTGAACAGTCTTGGGCCCCGGACACTTATTGTGTTGTCTCTTACGTGCTAGTGGGCGCCCCTGATTTTCATTGGAGGGAAGTTGCAGCCTTTGCCGAGTTTTTTGCTTTCATAGGGAGTCATTATCGTGTACAGGTTTGGTACTAATGCTTCTAAAATTTTTCAAGTGTATATAATCATGCATCTCTCCCGCTTGCGTTCTAGGGAGTACAGGTTAAGGAACTTCAAGCGTTCCCAGTAATTGAGGTGTTTTATCTCCGTTATGCGCGCCGTGAAGGTTCTCTGTACATTTTCTAGGTCAACAATTTCACCTGCCTTGAAAGGTGCTGTTAGTGTGCAGCAATATTCCAGCCTAGATAGAACAAGTGACCTGAAGAGTGTCATCATGGGCTTGGCCTCCCTAGTTTTGAAGGTTCTCATTATCCATCCTGTCATTTTTTTTTTGCAGATGCGACTGATACAATGTTATGGTCTTTGAAAGTGAGATCCTCAGACATTATCACCCCAGGATCTTTATATTAGTTTATTGCTCTATATTGTGTGGTTGGAATTTGTTTTATATTCCGATATAGTTTTAATTTCCTCGTGTTTTTCCATATCGGAGTAATTGAAATTTCTCATCATTGAACTTCATATTGTTTTCTGCGGCCCATTTAAAGATTTGGTTGATGTCCGCTTGGAGTCTTGCAGTGTCTTCAATGGAGGACACCGTCATGCAAATTCGGGTGTCGTCTGCAAAGGAAGACACGGTGCTGTGGCTTACATCTCTCTCTATGTCAGATATGAGGATGAGGAACAGGATGGGAGCGAGTACTGTGCCTTGTGGAACAGAGCTTTTCACTGCAGCCGCCTCAGACTTTACTCTGTTTAATACTACTCTTTGTGTTGTATTCGTTAGGAAACTAAAGATCCATCTACCAACTTTTCCTGTTATTTCTTTATCACGCATTTTATGCACTATTACACCATGGTCACACTTGTCAAAGGCTTTTGCAAAGTCTGTGTATACTACATCTGCGTTTTGTTTGTCTTCTAGAGCATCCAAGACCTTGTCATAGTGGTCCAGTAGTTGTGACAAACAGGAGCGACCTGCTCTAAATCCATGTTGCCCTGGGTTGTGTAATTGATGGGTATCTAGATGGGGTGGTGATCTTGTTTCTTAGAACTCTTTCATAGATTTTTATTGATATGGGATGTTATCGCTATCGATGGATCAGGAAACTTCAGCTGTTCCCTTGAGAAGAACAGCTGTTGAGCAACAGCAATAATGCTGAAAACTTTTTGCAGCCTCACACTGGGGCAACTGTACACAAGAACACTATAAGTTTGTAACTATACAAATATTTGTAAAAACAGAAAACTAAAACTACAGAAGAGATAATTACAATAAAAGAATAACAAATAAAGAGTTAGCATAATAGGAGAATATTACTATAAAAAATGCATAAAATTATCAAGTTTCACATGGTGAATAAGACATTCAATGTCCCATTGATTTTTGACACTTTTTGTGACGAAGACACAGTCAAAATATTGTCCTGACAAACACTGCATACGAGACTAAGGAATTTTTTTCAAATCAGACGGAGGAGAGATTTCCTGCAATACTTGATAAACTAATACCACTATACAGCCAACCATAAACTGCTGACGTAATGGAAAAAAAAAATGTAGGAAAAAATAGTACTCACCAATGTCTGCTCATACTGACGACCGCAGAATGTGTCGGTGTCTTGATCATCGTCCTCTTCAGACTCCCCAGGAGGGATCTTCCACCTCACGGACATTGTGGTGTAGTGGAGCGCTGATGGAGCTGAGTGGTAGAGATGTAGGTGGTAGGACTGTGTCGAAGTTCTGCTTGTATATTTTAATTAAGAAGAGGTAGCCACCAAACAGACGACGGTTGTGGATAACCTGTGGCAGGTATGAAAGGTGGCAGCGGCACCAGCACCTTAAACACCTACACCAGCAGGTCAATACCTACACCAGTAAGTCAACAACTACACCAGCAGGTAACTATCTGCACAGGAAGTCGTCACCAACACCTGCAGGTCACTATGTAAACCAACAGGTTATCACTAATACCTGCAGGTCACCACCAGGTCACCACCTACACCAACAGGTCGTTACCACCGCTGCTGGAGGAGAGGTCGACACGTGTGTGGCAGCGTATACTCCCCAACAACACCAAGGTCAACCAGATGGGTTTTTTATCATTAACTTTCCAGGGAGGTTCTTGGCTGCGTCTCTAGGGACTCCACCTGGGCAAGCCAGACGCACTCACCACCTTCACCTACCTGGCCACATTAAATGTCACTGGTACCACTTGATCACTTTATTATCCTTACGTCACTGTATATTAATGTCCACGATCACTTTTGACAATCCACTCGCCACTCCGGCTGACTTGTGAATTTAAAAACTAGTCCAACACAAATTACCCGATGGTATTCACTTTAAGGAGCCTTATCTGTTTATCACTTCGTTATCAGGGGTTGGAGGAGCGCAGCCCAGATACACCACAGAGGGAGGGACGGGGGCAGATATCACAAGAATGCAGGCAGGGTGATCTAGGAAGACACTAACTCCCCGGATCATGCCTGGCTACCAGGATACTTGATACTGTCAGGCTCAGGTACTCTTCACTACTTGGAGCGGGTCCTCTTGTCCCAGCTGCTCCCACCAGGTCATACCTCAATTAGGCTACACCTTAACCAGGTCACTCCATAACCGGGCCACAGATCTGCCTGCAAAAAATAAACGTTTTTTTTTTTTATTTTTATACGTGTTGTGATACATTCCCTAACAATATTAAAGTTACATCACGCTACAAAACATCCGTTACTTTCGATTGCGTTCAGTCAAGTATCCATGTTTTTTTAACGATGCAAATGAAATTGATGCGTTTAATCTAAGATAAAGCGCTGCGTGACCCTTGTCGGTTTTACGCTTTCCTTGATTATAATAATAATAATAATAATAATAATAATAATAATAATAATAATAATAATAATCTAAGACACCAAGAGCTTAATTAAACGCTCAGTAACAGGACGAAAATCATTTTTATTGATGAGATAATGATAATGATGGTGACAGTGATGATTAAGATTGGTAATAGTGATGATAAATAAGAACAACGCAAAACACAGACGCTGAGGAAAAGTTTGTTATTTGATGTAGTATGAAGTCCCTAGAACTGTACTCCGTAGAACGTAGGCGGGATAGATACATCATAATCTACTCCTGAAGATACCTGAGGAATGGCCCAAATCTTCGCACAGACATCACTACATAGACAAAAGACTTGACAGACGGTGCAGGATAATTCAGATGAAAATCAAGGAATCTATGAGTACACCACGATACAACGACTCTTCAAACACCCCCCCTTTAAATGCATAAGGGGGATTACCAACACCCCCTAGATCTCTTTCAAAGGGACTCGACAAATATTCAAAACAATTCCTAAAATCGGGCAGTTGTGCTGCATACGTACGTGGATTGCGATCTGGCCCTGGCAGGGCCGCGGGCGCAATTCCCGAAAGCGACTAACTAACAAACTAAGAAACCATTAAATTAACCTCAGTACACTATTTAAAGATAATACATGTGTGTAAGGATATTGATTGTTGTGATGTAAAGCAAGCAAAACACAGCTGAAAATTGTATTTGATGTAAGTCCCTAACTTTTAAAGCTTCTCAAATTCTCCTGAAGTACCTAGAATGGCAAATTTGAAACCACTCATAAAAATTAAAGGGTCTATCAGATTAAAAAGTCTAGGTCACACTTTTAAACGTCCCCTTAACACACCCTACATCGTATGAGGGTTTCAACAAGTTTTTCAGAGTGGCTGACAATGATCCACTTTCCTACGGCAGGTGGCTGTTTTAACGGGGATTGTCATCATGACGGGCAGGCGCTGGGGTCTGTCTCTCTGAAACGCGGATACACGTGACTCCAGATAAACTTTATCCACTCTTAAACGCCAACGTGAAAAACCCATCTGCTAGGAATTTGCACAGCCACACATGTACCACCAACCTATTTTAAAGCCCTACTCAATTCTCGCTTTGCACCTACGTTATTTGCTTCCTGAGAAGTCATAATTAAATGCCTTCACTATTAAACTTCTTTGAAAGGACTTTCTTGAGACACAATTCAACAGTCGTTATGACCCTATACCAGTTCTGTGATTGGAGATGAAATCAGGTTTCATAACACTGGCTGTCTCTTTGTAATTTGCTTAAAACCCACAGTTCGTGATATTCCCAATATATATCATATCTAAATAAATTTCTAATAACATTCTAATATATGTATATATTATATAATAATATTTTTTTTTTATTTTTTTTCTCATTATATGGTCCATTCCCCCGAGAGGCAATTAAAGCCTTCAAATTTTCACACATTCTGATCCAATAAACTTCTTAATGCTTTATATACAGTTCTGTAAACTGGAACCCTAGAACCCGATCCTTGCTATCAATATTGTATATTTGCTTATAAAATCTTTATCTTTAGCATATATATATATATATATATATATATATACTTTATATTATATATATATATATATATATAATATATATATATATATATAATATATATAAAATATATATATATATATATATATTCGTGCCGAATAGGCAGAACTTGCGATCTTGGCTTAAATAGCAACGCTCACCTTGCCATATAGGACAAGTGAAAATTTGTGTATGCAATAATTTCGCCAAAATCATTCTGAACCTAACAAAAAAAAAATATTTCACTGTGTTTGTTTAGTATTAAATTACTGTAAACAAATCTAAAATATATTTAGTTGGGTTGGGCTAAAATAAATTGTTCTTGTTATAATAAGGTTAGGTAAATTTTCTAAGATTCTTTTGGTGCAAAATTAAAATTTTTACATTAACATTAATGAAAAAAAATATATCTTTAAACGTATAAGAGAAAATTTCAGAAAGGACTTAATTTAAATGAGTTGTTGCTAATTGACCAGTTTTATATATTCGGCACGACATATATATCAACTTTTAACTTTAAGAAGGCACTGAACCTGTCACTAGAGGATGAGCAATGGGATCAGGCAACCCTCCAGTATGACTGGGAGGTATAGGGGTGCGCAAAGCAACGCATGTTGCTTTACCCTGCTTTTCTGTCTTCGTGTTTGGCTTCCAGTGCATTAGTCAAGAAGATAGTTCCCGAACGCTTGAGAGACGTGGTAGGAGCTCAAGACCCCAGGTTTACTGAAGCAGCGATTCGGTGGGACACCTTACAGACTCTCCAGTAGACCAGCTCCTCCCAAAGAGCACAAACAGTCCCACGGACAAACCGATCATGAAAAAAATCGCCAACACAATGCTCTCCAATGCTTCAGGAAAGGACAAAGCTCGTCTTCTGGCAGTGAAGGCACCACACTCAGGAGATTTCCTGTTAGCTGTTCCCAATTCCTCCCTGGGCACCCGTCTCGAAACCCCCAGGCCATTCGGATTGGTGTTGTTCCTCGCCTAGCCGCCCCCATCCTCACCTAACTTAGGTGTATTTGCGGCAGGGCGACAGCTGATCAATTCGGACTTCATGGTCTCGTGTGTCACACAGCAGAAGGGAAGTATCCCAGACATTTAGGAGGTCAATGACATCCTAAAGAGAAGCCCCGCCACAGCCCGTTGCCCAGCTCAACGGGAACCCCAAGTACAGAGTCTGATGGAAGTCAAAGAGTCCTGATGGAGCCAATATGCTACCCCTGGAAGGATGGAAAGCAGATTGCCTGGGGACTACACCTGTGCCGCCACATGGCAGACACCTACTTGCCATACTCCGTAGTGGAAGGGGGTGGAGCTGCCAGCCACAGGGAGAACAGAAGACCGAAAAAAATGAAGACCTTCCCCCTTGCTTTAACTTCATTCCAATAGGGTCGAAGACCCTTGGAGCATGGGGCAAGTGTGCTCTAAAGTTCCTCAAAGAGCTGGGTGAAAATATCATTTGGGTACGAACACGGCGACAGTCTTAAGACTCATGTAGGCTGGAAGCCGCAGCATTCGGCAAAGGGAGGGGGGCGCCCAAACATCGAGTGTACCTGATTTCCTAGTTTTTTATTTTTGTTGTATGTTTGATGAATAGTTGTGCCGAGCTTCAAATATAACCATACCCTGAAATCTAGGTAGTAGAGAAATTCTCAAACCGTCTTCGGGAATCACTTGGCTGTAATTCATATTGTTGCTCCTAGAGGATAAGGGGTCCCCAGACGTCTATGGGCACTCCTAGTATTCTATAATAGAAGAAGCATAGTTAGTGTGGATTCACATATTAAATTACAATATATATACTTCATACTAGTATTTTTACCCAAACCATGTTCGAACCCACATGATAAAACGGCTCATCACAGAAACCAAGGGGGGGTTTACCACGACCCACTTTCCCCTTTCAGAGACTTCATGTTGCGAATCCAAGAGGAAAGGTGCTCAGATAGCTAGGTGTCATCGCCGGCCCACCGCAGGGAGTGCTGACAAAGTATTTTTTTCTTGAGATAATATCCTCTGAGGTTCCTCTGTTGTTATTAACTTTCATGTTGTATTTTTATACAAATTTCTTTGGTCCAATGAATTTTGATTTTAAAAAATCCATCTTGAAATATAGGGGATGGTTAAAGGGGAAATTTCTGAAATCATGCTTCAAAGGGAGAAGTTCAAGTTATCCCTGAAGAAGTTTATTCCTTTTTCCTGAGAAAAGAGGGTCCCCAGGACAGTTCAGAGGTGGTTTCCCCCCTAATATATATTATATATTATATATAATATAATTTTAATATAATATATATAATATATATATATATATATAATGCAAAAAGTCGCAGACGGGCGACTTTACTATGCGGGGCAAGCCATGGAGGGGGGGGGGGAAAATTTTGCCAAGTACTTTCACACTTTCAGTGCATCATCAGGGGCTGTGCAATGTTTCAAGGAAGAACCAAAGCAGGGAGAGAGGTTTGTCAGAGTAGCGTAGGTGTCATCGGCCAGAGTTACCTTATCCCCAGTCTAAGGGTAACCGTGGCCGGTGACAAACTGCTGCAGTGCTCTTTTCTGTCATTTAGAGATCACAATCATCCTACTGACTGGTCCTCTGCTAAAACTGTCTACCCTACTACTAGCTTTCACAGTCGCCATCTTGTTGAAGCTTCCTTTATACACAACTCTCCTTGTGGGTCATTCCATGTCAAGTGTTTGATTTTAAAAAAGTGCCCCATCTCATCATCATGGATTTTAATGAGACTTGTGTGCTGAATCTTATGTCTTAAACTAAGTTTGGTAGAGTTCAAGATCCGTCAGTGAAATGGTTGCTGAGATAGAACCCTTTGTTTATGACCATGTCACAACCATGTACCGTAACCTACGAAATTCGGCAGTTTTTAATCAAAATAATTTTCTCGCTCTTTCCCACCAAAATAAATTAAACTTTGCTATCATACACAGCTTCTTATGTTTAATCCAATGGAACTAATATGGTTTTTACATTTTTTAAACTGACATGGTGATGAGCCTCAGTGTGGGGCAAAAATATCAATGCATCAAAAATCTCAAAGTTTAGCCTTCTCTGGCTCATGTAAAAATAGAGATATGCTTTGAAATTTTGTTTACCATTTTGTGACATAACCTTATTTACATGTACATAGTTTCAATTTGGGGAGAATGTTTATTCTTTTAAATTTTAATTTAAACTTTCACAATTTTTCAAAAAATTTAGAAAATAGGATATTTGCAATGTGCTTTTGAAAAAAAAAAAAGTCATCTTGAAACATTT